GTGTTTTTGTCTGTGTGTGTTTTTTGGTGCCTCCCTCTTTGTATAGGTAGGCGGGGCAGTGAGTCACTGAACCTGGCACACCTGTTACTCATCAGATGCATTCTTCAGAAATGTTCTTTAGGAGCTACCTGTCAGAAGACTAGTGTCGGAGTATTGATGTTTTTTGGAGAGTCTGTAACTCTGCCCCTGCCTGCTGGAGCCATTGGATTATTTCTGGTGACTGTAAAGAGTTTTGTTTCCTCCCCAGGATTTCGCCTCGTCTGGTTTGTTTCCGTCAGGAGGTTTTGGCAACAACCAGTACCAAGTAAGCTCTCCGACTCTCTGTAAAGTCTCCTTTAAGCTTTTCTCGGTTATCGGGCAAGACCCTCCTAATTCTCACGTCCCTCTCCTTTTAGATCGAGTGCACTTCCTGTGTGTGTTTTCGTCTCCTTCACGTCCTGGCTCCGCGTCCCCATTCATATGCTGTTGTACATTCTCTGTCCTTGTAAAACCTCCCCTTCACTGTAAATAAACTTTCTTCACCGCAACTCTGCCTCTGTGCGTTCTGCTCCCTGGGTCCATCTGCATTTGTCATAACAGCACCTGAAACTACGGATACTGGATACTGATGCCTGTGCTGGCATTTCTCCTGCGGTGTTGCTATCAGTGTGTGAAGAGTGGGAGAAGAGGGTTGCATTGACAATCCAACACAATGGCAGCACATTGAACATATTTTATAAGTGGTCAGAAACTTGTAAATATCTCATGAAAGAATAAAGTTACATTGAAACCAAGCACACCATTGTTTTTCTTTTGACATTACCAATATGTTTGATGTGTCACACGGCCCTCTTCCTATTGAAAAGAACAAAAGTTGTGTCCAAGATGGCCGACTTCTAAATGGCCAACATGGTCACCACCCATCTTGAGGAATCTGCCCCCTCACATATACTAATGTGCCACAAACAGGACTTTAATATCACCAACCATTCCCATGTTATTACGTTGTATCCATATAAATGGCCCACCCTGTATATTAGTGCTATCAAACAATTAAAATGTTTAATTTTATTCATCACAGGGTTACTGTGGATTAATTTTGATTATTCACAATTAAATATGATTCACTTTTATTCTATATTAATCACATTTCATTTTCCATGAACAAACAGACTCGAGAAAAAAGGGAAAATATACGCACTTAGCATGTTTATTGAACATCTTGAACATTCATGCTAAAAAAAAAATCTGTAAACATTTATCCACTCTCTCTTTGTCATTCTTGGGGACGCACTTCAATTCCTTCAAACGAGGAACCAAAGCCATATACAGCACGTGAAAAAAGTAATAGTACACCTTTTGTCAAAATTTGATTGATGACCCTAGCCTTGACCTTTTGACCTTACCGGAAGTGACTAATTGAATCCAGATGTGTGACTAATTTGATCCATATGCGTGACGAATTGCATCCGGTCGGGGAAGTACTCTGGAAGTGACTAATTTGACGTGACGAATTGCATCCGGCAAGCAAAAAACATTTATGTTTTGTCCAGAGAGGGAGGGGGTTGGTGGAGGGATGGTTGAAGAAAAGTTCAAGGATAATTCTGATCAGAGAGGGAGGGGGGTCATTCCAGGGGCATGAAAAGTTCAGGGGGGTAACACAGCAGATTTCTGATGAATCAGTGGAGATCAGAACGCATGCTGCATAGAGAGACAGAATGATCGCAGCAGTTAGTTTTTCACAGACAAGAGTTGAACTCATAGTTTGAATTCTGTTTAGTACATTGTTTAAATGATTCAGTCTCTATTATTAGCATCACTATTATGGCAAAGATCTTGATAACCATTTTCACCTACAAATGTAACCATTTTCTTGGTAAAGACTGAGGGCTATTTCTTTTTACAATAGCGGCTTTAGATTTATTTTACTTTCTTATATTAACCTTATTACAGATGCAATAAAATAAAAACCTTTCAGATTATCTGACTAATAATGGATTACATTTATATAGCGCCTCAAATTCATTCACTCTCACATCCACACACTGGTGGAGGCAAGCTACACCAGTGCTTGTAATGAAAAAAGAAGGACTTTCTATTGCTTGTAACCTACAGAGTACCGTGCAAAGAATTTCATACAGACCTCCCACTCATCTCCTTGTATGTGTAAAAATAACCCTTAGTTAAAAAAAGCACCGCGCCCATATTCAGAACTTGATCCTATTTAGCATCCCAAATAATTTTATTGAAGCTATTTTACCCCTCTGTGGTAAAGAGTTTTCTTTTTTTTAGAGTCACTTTTACGACAGGTTTATTATTTTTTAAGAGATTGAGAGAGAGAGAGAGAGAGAGAGAGAGAGAGAGAGATCAATAATCAATATTAGTATTTCTTAAAGCTTGTAACCTAGCAAAGTACGGACACCTGTGCAAAGAATTACATACACATTAAAACAATTTCACCCTCATTAGCAGAAAATGCTCGATAGACAGAAAAACACAACCCTAAAAGAAAACGGCCTTGTTTCACGCACACCGCGGGTCAAGAAGGAGTCAGACGACCGTCGGTTCATCCCGGTCAATTACCTCCAAGAGCTCGGGATGCTTCAACTTCCTCCGTCGGGTACCATAAGCGCATGAGAAAAAACCCAGAGAAATTATTATTTTTTAAGAGAGAGAGAGAATCGATCAAATTTTTCTACAACACGTTATACCACTCCGGGTCTGGAGGGGCAATACAGCGTGGACCGGTTGGATGACTACATCATGACCGGAAGCGTGGCAGGGACTTTCCCAGTAACCGGAAGCATACCAGGGACTTTCCCTTTGACCTTCATCCTGCTCCATGATCAACCATTAAATGTTTCCTAAATATTGCTGTAATGTAACAACAAAGTTAGT